ATTTTAGGGTGGCGTATTGGACCCTCTCTGGCCAATGGATACTACCTGGCCAATTTGATACTGTCTTATGCCACCCTAGGATCTGCTTGGAGTTTATAAATTTTACTTTTTTTGAACCCGAGTTGTTAGTCTGGTGGAGACTAGTACCGGATGACTTACGGCCACTTGTACTGAAGGACAAAACAGAAGACCTTCTCCAGGGTAAACAAGACACTTCTCACGGCTCCTTGTAGTTGCCTGAGACGTGAGTTCGTGATTCGAAGGATTTCGAGCTGCGCGGAGAGTGAAGTACTCCGCGAGGGGTTCCTTCTTACAGCCCTGTTACAGCCGGTGGTTTCCTCTCCATACACCACATTTTTACCCCACGCGGTGCTTCAGCCACAACAAGCTTACCACGAGAGATACTATATCTATACACTTTGCCAAGGGGAATATATATTCCTTTAATACGAAATCGTAAATCAGATATGCATGCACAACCTAGACGTTGGGACGAATCGACACATGTCTGTTTTTCTACTTCAGTTCTTTTAGGTATCGATCATCCACTGCATAGTGTGGATTCCGACCGGGTCAGTCAGGACAGCGCCAGTATTTATGACATGCATGGGAAGAGAATGCTAACGGTGGTGCTGAACTGTATATATGATACAAAGCGTATTGAGTCGAGACTAAAGTCTTATAAGTACCACAGAAAATTTGATTAGCGATAGTCCATGGCATCGAACGTGCGCTATGGATCTCCAGCCTACACAGGTGTATTCATGACATGCATGGGAATTGGAAGAGAATGCTGTGGTGCTGAACTATAGGATAAAAAGCGTAGTGAGTCGAAACTAAAGACACTAAAGTCTTATAAGCACCACTGAAAACGTGATTAACGATATAACCTCTATCAGGCTTCGGGAGGCGACTGGAAAGAGTCGAAATTGGCCAAAAACTGAAATAGAGAGATAAGTTCCAGGGGAGTTGGTCCACTAGAGAGTACATTTTCCGTACCCGTACTCTTCCCAGCCGCCTCCCGAAGCCCGGTAGAGGCTAATTAGCGATAGTCCATGATCAAGAACGTGCGCTATGGATCTCCAGCCTGCACGGGACGCACTAGTAGTCGCACCAGTTTGCCGGCCAGCCCACTCGGAAATCGATCTCCAATTATCGCCAATTTGCTGAGAAAACATCACACGGGGTCTCACGCGGGTTTGTTTGCACGAGAGCCGAGCCGAAAGGGCGCGCAGGCTGAACAGCTAGGGCACTGGCGCGGGACGCAGGGAAGAACACCTTCTTCTTGGATTTTATGATTCTTAGACTTTCTCCTCTTGGAATACGAGTACTAGGAAAGCCAGGTGTCTTGTAGTGAACCCTGTGTGTCTGGAGGAAGGTGTATGTCCCGCTGGGGAGCGTCAGACCAGAGACCTTCGTCACGTCAGTCTAGTTGGCCCAAAGTGGTACGTTCCAACTTGTGTGTACGATGAATGGTTGTGTAGTGTGTACTGTTTGTGTTTGGCTGTTTTATGGCTTCACTCCTCACGTATTGCTATCTCAACCGTTTCTATTTTCTAAACCCTGCGATAGCGTAATGGACCTGGTTCTTTGTCGGCAGTGACAGATCTTAAGATGAATGCCATTGCCGAACCCTCGGTGTCCCGAGCGCCTTAAGCCTCTGTGGCTGGTTTTCTTTCTCCACATCTCAGAGCGTCTTGTTTGTCTTGCAGAGCAAGTGTCGGCATACCATTCGCCAGTGTCGTCTGTGTGTGTACGTGAGTGTGTATGTATGTTATAATGTGTGTGTGTTTGAGAAGGCCTACGCCATCACGATAGTACAAAACCCTGGTGTACTTGACTACAGAGACAGTATGTTTTCCCTCTATTAGTGGCTGTTGACCCTCCCGTGTCGTGCAAACAGGCGCCGAGCCATTGTCAAATATGCCGTGCCGTACCGTCCACCTGCCTAGGCAAGCATTTTATAAAGGAAGCGGCATTCTTACAACATTATCAACGTCAATAGATGTAGTGTATGGCTCTAGGCATACGCTCTTGGTGTGCATATGATAGTCTGGGAATCCTGGCTTCTTGGGCTAATTGGTACAACTTGCCAAGCATACCGGCCTACTGAAAGATTCACACTCGTTAGAGGGCCTAACTGTCGGTTGGATAATGGTTAAACTTTCCCACCAGACTGCTAGAATGTAAACATCCATTTAAATTCTCGATTTTACAGTTCACCCACTGTCCTGGAGGTTGAAGCTATGAAAATGCAGGATTGTTACCATTGCACCGTTGGTGCTATATCAAGAGTGTTGAATGTTTTCTTGCGGTGGCGATAAAGACTAAAGGTTATAGGTCAGATCTTCGGGGTGCCGACTTCGTGTTTTCACTAATAATCGGATGGTGTGCGGAGTAAAGGCGGAAAGGAAGAGCGGCCATCTTACACCAACCGCGGCTTAAGGCTAACTTAAGTCGGTCTTGGCGCGACCTCTTTACAAGACACTTCACTTCACTGCTTTCTGCACGGAACGAAGCTTTCTGCTTGAGTGTCTGTAGCCCAAAATCGTCTGGACACGTCTTTACAATGTATCCAAACACAGTACTTCTTTGATGGTACGACGCTTGATTGAAGGAATAAGTATTTTTGTCTGTTTCAGGATCCATAGCGTTCTCACATCTCAGGTTAAGCCTAAAATTAGGCTTGAGAATTTGTACAAACAGCGGCGATAGCGATAAGCCGGTGTTTGTCATTCCATCCGTCAGCCCTGCCCGCGGTACCTGTGCCCACGTCACGGCCCAGAGTTCATATAGCCTCCATAACATGCCAAAAACTGGGGGTTTTGGGGGTCTTCAGGGTCTTTGGGATCTTTTATGGGCTATTTTCTGATTGCATATAGACAACATAGCCGGCCTGGTTGAATTACCCCCGTTTTTTGAACTGGGCTAATCAGAAAACAGCCGAAGACCACCAAACCCCCAGTTCTATAAGCCTGCTACGGAGGCTAGAGTCCATCCACTCTACATGTAGTACTTACTGTCTGTAGGAGAGGGTAGAAAACATGTGTTTCTGGCTCTTTACTGACCTCATACGGACCGGGTGTATTTGTTCGCGCGGCCTGTGGCTAAACTGTTAACCAGGAGAAGTTTGCGGACAGGGGCTCCGTGTCCTAGTTTCGTGGCGGGGGAAGAATTTTCCGTCCACTTGTCGCTGTCGGCGGTTGTGTGAGCTACTCTCCAAGCAGAGGTTGATGGGGGAAGATCGTTACCTTTTTATATATAACCCGCTTTTTTGTCGGTACCCCCACCATCCTTGGGACCCTCTCTGGCCAATGGATAATGCCTGGCCAATTTGATACTGTCTTTTTGCCACCCTAGGATCTGCTTGGAGATTAGTGTGAGCACCGTAACCCCATCAGACACCAAACAGCCGATAACTGTCAGTCTGTACTACCGTGCCCATCATGTCCCCGTACGGTACAAGTACACCTGTGTTCCTGTAGGATCCCTCACCCCCTGCTGACCTACAGCACCATTAGTACGAACAAAGCTAACAGAGGTGCGCGCTAACAGAGCCACGCTTGTGCATACTAGTAATCCCGCATCCTCCCCGCCGACGACAAAGCTAGCACGTACTCCTGTTTACCCGTTTCTGCCCAAGTTTACCCGCAAACGCGTCTCGAATGGCAGAAAGTTGTGCCTTCAGGTAGGAACAATGTACGGTGTTGATGTCGTCTCTCCGTCAGTTGGTTATATGGCGGGGAGAATTTACAAGGCAAAGGGCACAGTGGCACCATTGCAGGCTTATCGGAGCGTTGTTTTCCCAACAGGTGTAAACTTCAAAAACATTAAGATACATCGAGAAAAGATGGTGTGAGAAAACAATGCACTTGTACTGGTAACTGATTAAGGTCATATACTAGTATATGCACACGGGTTACAAGACAGGTAATCTTTTTGAATGAACAGATCTTACAATTCATAGGAAAATGTTCTTGGGGATTAACCAGGGGGAATGTTAATGTGTCTTATGTGGGGAAGGGGATAACTAGCTAAATTGTCGTTTCATGCTAGTCAAACATAGTTCCAACTTTTCATTCTGTTGTACTTAATCATTTTTCCTCTCGACTTGGTGTTCGAAAATATCCTTATCATATATTTACCATCATACCACCGTCCTTGCACATTTTCTAGACGATTTCCTCACCCCCACCCCACCCCAGCGTTACTCCTGGTTCGTCCCTTATCTGTGGAGATAAAGCAACAAAGTGACAAGAAGTGTCCGACCCCGGATGTTGGCATGTTGTCCGACAGGGGGACTTCATTCCTGTGTCTCTATTTTGTCAACAGAACTGACTGATTCAGTGATTGTCATTGTCAGTCGCCTGTTGTCACAGCGTCACGTTTGTCACAGTTTCGCGCATCGTCTGAATAGCAGGGATATTCCTGTTGTAGCGCTGCTGACAATAGAGACGGATGACAAAGCAAGTTTGTGACGAATTGTTGTGTTGTGACAATACATCACCTGGTCGTCAGGTGAGGTCAATGTCCGGGACTTGCGACTATAAAAAGGACCGACGGTTTATTTTGAATTCGCCAGTGCAAAAGCATTGGCAGACAGTCACAGATCACAGACTGCATGTCCTTTCATTGCCTCCCCCACAAGTCATGTCTAGGTCTGTGCACCGTGATCTCATCTTCATTCAACAGGTCCTTCCAGCTCACTCTACTGGACTTTGTACTGAAGCTAAAAATACACGTTCTTAAGACAGAGAGAAATGCAGCAACACCAGAAAAAATATGGCGCTACAATCGGCTACATCCTGCAACACCTACTCGGTCATGTCGGAGTCTACGAATGGTTTCCTGTTTCATGTTTGGCAGAAACCTCACCTTCACCTGCAGTCTAGATCTGTGATAGCCGTGTTGTGCTGTTTAAGTGCCTGTTTCTTACTAAGAACATTTTGAGGACGTTTAAGTATATATAACGCGTATTTCTTTTTCTTCCCCATCTGCAGCTCCAGCCATAGATGGTAACTGGGGGAGTTGGGAGCCCTGGAGCACCTGTCCGGTGACATGTGGGGAGGGCCGCGTTCAGAGGTTCCGCGTGTGCAATAACCCGCCTCCGTCGAACGGGGGCGCTTTTTGTGAAGGCGAGACGTTGGAGTCCGGTACATGCCAGGGACTGCCGCCCTGCCCGGCAGGTAATGTGTTCTCGTGTTGGTTTGGTTTTCCTTTGATGCTCACGATGCTCATGCCTTCAAATATCAGAGTTATCGGCGAAGAATTGAGGTGTTCAAAAACTTTGAAAAAAATCGTATTTTCCAAGAACTATCGTAGAGTGGAACTCGTTGCCACCTAGCACAGTTGGGGCATCATCACTAGAAAGCTTTAAACAGCTCCTGCAATTAAATGCAGATTGGGTGTAGCAAGTCGTTCGGTGTAATATAGTTAGCTGCCGCCGCGCCGCGTGCCTGCGAAGCTGGTGTGTTACGCCGAAGGGCAGTTATACCGGCTATACAGATACAGATTCAGATTCATTGGGCTTCCAAATTGGATTCTTTAAACTGTGCCAAGTTTTTTTTCTGAACAGTAATCGATCTTGCATTTCTCCAGAAGACCTCGGCACCCTCCCCCCACTGACGGTCCGGCCTGTCGCCACTGACGACTGCGCCTGCGGCTGTACCCTGCGGGATCCGCTAGGGGGCGTGACGAGACCCCCGTACGGCGCGTGCGCCGGGGTAGTCACTTGGCTGATCTGGGTTCTGGAGGATTACAGGATACGTCTGGAGTTCGAGGTGTTCGATTTGGACGAGACACAGGAAAGGATCAAGGTGAGCCTTTTTTATTTCCATTAATCTAAGTCTGATACGAACGTCCAAACCAACCGCTCAGACCGTTCCGCCATTAAGCGGAGTTTTCAACAAGTCCGGCTATGTCTGATGACACACATGTTGGCAAAACAGATACCACTGTTTACATACAAGCATGTGAATCTGCTTGATAGTTGAAAGATAACAGTTTCTCGTTAAGGTTTTTGATATTTTCGTCAATTAAACGTTTTCCGTGTTTGTTAAGTTATATTTTACTGCCCCAATAATTGTGCCAGATTAAACAACACGGGAGGTAAGGGTAACAGGCAGCCGCATCTGGAGCCGTGCAATTATGCTTCCTCCCGTCCTCCCTGCCAGCTGAGGTGATCTATCGTCTGTGTGTTTTGAGAATTCCTGGGTGTCCCGTGCAAAAACGGACGTGACGCTGCCCGAATATCATCATTCACGGGACATCTTGCAGTTATTCTTGGCGACGACCTTATTCTATGTATTTAACCCTGGCGCAAAACTTTCCCTCCCATGGTTCCGGGGGTTGTGAAACCGGAGTTGTGAGGCACGTTTGTCGGGTTTTGGTTTCCCAGTTGGCGATGCCGTCTTTCCTGGCACGCCTCGCTTGTTATCTCTGCCACCGACGGAGAATCTCACCAACCGGATCCACATGGCATATCTAGATTACTCTTCAAGCAGAGGTTTGTGTTTGGGCTTATTTTTGGCGCGTTTTGTATCGGGCTTTCTTTTCTGCAGTTTTTTTTACGCCAACGCAGCAAAGAAAGCCCGATAAAAAGCTTAAATCACGCCAAAAATAAGCCAAAACCCAAACCTCTGCTTGGAGAGTATATCTAGATACCGCTCTGCAACAGAGAGCCGTCCGTTCCTGTCCCTCAGAACTAGAGCCATCACAGCGGCCCCCTGTCGTCCAGCGCCTCGTTTCGCGCCAAAATATCGCCCTGACCAGACGTGTTTATCTGCAGGGTGAAGTTGTAATGTCTTCCGACCGGATCCATGTGCTGTGTCCAGATTCAGACTTCAAACAGTAGCGAGATTCCCGTGATTCGGAAGAGATTTAAGCGGCCTAACCTTTGCCAAGTTCGCCCCTAATGCATTTATTTCTTTTCCGTTTAAACTTGGTTTTGTACGTAGTAGCACAGTATACTTTCAGGAAACGCAAGAAGACTGGATATGGCAATTTGTTGATTGTGTATTAAGTTGGATACTAACTGGGAGATGGAAGTCGTAAAGCCCAAAGGATAGATTTCTTTTCTGAAGTAGGGACAAAATTTACAACCATTTCCTTCAAAAGGATGTCTTAAATCAGAAATCAGTTGGTGCGTTTCGCTGACTTCCCCTGATGACGACAGCAGCGTGCTTGGCAGGGGATAAAAAAGGACGTCACATTTGTGATATATAGCGTTTTCTTCTACACTATATCCAAGGAGAAACCCCTTACACTTAGCCTGTACCAGGCTTCTGGAGGCGACTGGAAAGAGTAGAAAGTGGCCAGAAAGAGAGATAAAATGCCGAGGGAGTTGGTCCGCTAGAGAGAACAGTTCGGGTGCGGCAAAATGCACTCTCTTGCGGACCAACGGCCTCGGCATGTTATCTCTCTATTCGGCCAATTTTCTACTCTTTCCCAGACGACTCCCGAAGCCTGGTAGAGGCTAGTTTTCTTCTACACTATCCAATGAGAAACCTCCTTCCACTAACAAGACGATGAAACTATGTTTTCAGATCCGTGACGGCGGAGAGGCGACGTCGCCGCTGCTGTTCAGCTCGGGGTCCGTGGACCCGCCGGCGACGCTGACGTCATCGGGCAGCCGGCTGTACATCGAGTTCCGCGTGCAGGCGGACCTGCAGGCCTACAGCACCCGCGGCTTCACGGCTGGATATTCATCATTCCGTAAGTATCACATTCCACAACGGGAGCCGTTTTAGGGGTCAGGTTTCCCCTCCGTGGACTGTGGGGATCGTGTTGTCGGAATGTCCAACGAGGAGAGACTTAAGCTGGGAATGTCTTGAGGAGTTAGTTACTCGTTGGTCATCAGTCCTTACTGTAAGATATGACATCGCAGTGACGTCTAGTACATGCATTGGGGCTCACTGGTGCTACATTATTTTCATTTGAAAATCGGTGAGTATCGGAGTCAGGTTCCCCTCCGTGGACTGTGGGGATCGTGTTGTCGGAATGTCTAACGAGAAGAGACTTAAGCCGAGAATGTCTTGAGGAGAGTAACTCGTTGAGAAGTACTCGATTATTATGTCGTTAGTGTAGCATATGGCATCGCAGCGACGGTCTAGTACATGTATTGCGGCTCGCACCAGTGCTACAACCTTATTATCATTGGGAAATCGGTAAGTAATACTAGTAGCAGCGCCGTACAGTAGACTGAAATGATTAGTTATCTCCCACCAAGGGGCTTTCATCGGTGATAGAATGTCCTTGCTCCCCGTGACAGCTGTAAATCTTGTGGTACGTTTGAGACTACACGGCCCAGCGTCTTATCAAAGATGTAAGGCCGAGACTGACTATACTAAGTTAGATGACCGCAAATAGCCAAGTTTAATTTGTCTACATCAGTCTTTTTCGCTCTTGCGGAGTTTGAGGACATAAGGGTTAGAAAATTTTGAAGCAAAGTTTTTCGCAATTCTGATATCGTAAAATCGTTGTTTCACATTCTCTAAGGTTCAGCTTCGTCCCAGGAGAGATAGTAGATGTGTCTGACACAGTTTCTTGACGAGTTCATTTGTTGTTTTTTGGCGCGAGTTTTATCAGCCTTGACAGATGTGACGTATTTCGGTTGGGAAGGATGCCACCCCCGAACAAAACCCAGAGGGTGAAATAACAAACGTTCGCGTCTTCTGTTGTAGGCACATATCAGCGTAATGCGGCTCTCCGTAAACACTTGTCATAAGAGAGCCTCCACACTTAAGGATCCATGTTGGGACATAATCCCTGATTACAGAAGACAAGAGGGGCCCATCAAATATCCTGGACGGGACGTATTAATTGGTAGACCCCGGTGGTCTTCCTGTCGATTATATATCTGTAAAAACATAACTCGTTCAATGCATGTCAAAACGGAACTAAGTGGGGTGAACGTTGGATACAGGCGGCAAATGGAAACAGGCGGCCAACATAAAGTCCCCTTGCCCCACCGAATCTGCTTGGAGACCATGATTAAGTGTGGAACACAAGTACAGTTTGATTCTAATAAGCTAAAGAAAAATCATCACGAAATGATGAGGAGTTTCTAAATTATGCTGTAGACAAATTTAACATTTCAGACGCTGCAGGTGTGACATGGGATCAAGCATTACGCTGACGCGAGCAGCCTAAGATATACACACTATACACTCAGCGTCAGAGCTCTAATAATGTTGAAACCCGTGCGTGGATGGTGTTTGCTCTTCACGTGTTAACAGACACGCCTGTTATATCGCAGATACTCTGAGATAAGGTTTCAGAGCGTGTCCCAAATTAACCCAAATCAATTCAGCACTTGTCAGTCACAGTATGTCACTCAATCAGTCGGTTTGTCCCACAGCACGGGGTCATACTTCTGAGTCATTAAAGTTCTGCTCTGTTTGCAGGAAAGTAAAAAGCTTGTGGATAGACTTCCAGGGACTACACAATAGCCTATAGCTAACGACATGAAGTTCTACGTACCTGGTAGCTCAAAGAATTATGTAAACTTAATGATCTGAACATTACTAACGTAACACAAAGATCTTACATGCAATAGATACACAAATAAAACCATTAAGGGCTACCATTGTCTTTATGTTTGTCTATCCTTACCTTGGCGCTTGGTTAGCACTGTCTCTGATTCCGATTCAAACATCAAAACTGTTGATTTTGCAGAGCTGGTGCCCAGTACGACGGCGGTGACCACCACAGCGGCGCCGGAAGAACCCCTTACGTGGTGGCAGAAGGTGGAAAAGTTCTTCAAGCTGGAGATCTTCCAGAACCCCGTGACTGTGGCCGGCATCGTGCTGTGCGCACTGGTGGTCATCGGCAGGTGGGTGGGGAGTACTAGTACCTATAATCTCGAAGCAGATCCCTATCGGTTAGCCTCTACCAGGCTTGGGAAGGCGGCTGGAAAGAGTAGAAATCGGCCAGATAGAGAGATAAGCATGCCAAGGGAGTTTGTCCGTTGAGAGAACAGTTGGGGTGCGGCGAACTCCCTTGGCATGCTTATCTGTCTATTTGGCCGATTTCTACTCTTTCCAGCCGCCTCCCCAAGCCTGGTAGAGGCTACCTTTTGTTGGCAAGACAGTAACCATCAGCCAAAAGAGTGGCTATGGACACTCCTCTGGCTGACGGATACTGTCTTGCCACCGAAAGAGATCTACTTGGATATTAGGAGTTGCCGTATACACTCAACGTTCTACGTCCTTTTCTTTAAGAATGATCAGTGGATACGTTGTAAATCATAGTATAGAGGAAATATACTCTTTTATATGACAGTCAATGATAAGTCAGTAACAAGTGACTTTCTCATTTACTGTCCTTGACAAAAGTCTTGGCGTATCTGCCCAGACAGTATCACTATAAAAACTTTTCCGCGATCATATCGGTGTCTTACGCCATAAGCATTGTTCTGATACAAATTTGATACAAACCTTGTTTTTTTTCCACAGTATCATCGCCGTCATCTGCACACGTATGTGTCGGAGGCGCAAGCGCACTGCGGCGTACGCGGCCAGCAGTGCCCAGAGCGAGATCGAGGGCGGCGGGACCCAGAGCCCGCGCAGTCTCAGTCTCAACCACATAGAAGCGACCTCTGTCGGCGCGCAGAGTCAGCGTAGCGGCAGGGACAGGCGGGAGCACCACCTGTCCGACATGTCCATGTCTGACCTGTCCCACACGTCCAGACGGAAACCCATGCAGAACGGGAAGGTCCCCACGGGGTACGCTAACCACATCTACAGCGCGTCTGCTCCGGAGACACCACAAAGGTAACGGCGCAAGAACACTGGTCCATGCAGCAACTCAGTTGAACTACTCATGATGCTATAGATGACAACTGATTACTATGATTGACGATAAGTATTGTATTTTCAGGGTATCTGCAATCTGCAAAATCTGTATCCTTAGTCTGCATTGACTAAGGAACAAGAATATAAGAATAACAAATAAGCGTAGAAACTAAATATGTCTTGGTCTTGGCCATCATTTTCAATCTGGTGGCAGCTATGAAAGATTTACTTGTAAGTACAGCTAAGATCTAGATATATGCCGTTTTTGCGAGAAAAATTAGCTATATTTTAATCAGCATTGCCACTGTTCTATTGTCCACAGGTTCACCAACCTCGGTGACCGCCCGGCCTCGCCCGTCCAGGGGCAGTTCCCCACACCGTACCAGCTGGCGCAGGAACAGCTCAAACTCATGAGACAGCACGGCCTGGAGCACTGCGAACAGCTTTACGACTTCAGGCAAGTATAGGCCTGTAGATGATGATGTTTCACGAGTAAGGTACCACCATTTCCTTAATTGTGTATTATACATACGAGAAACAAAGTACGTCGGTGAAGGTTAGACATCCAGGTAAAAAGATACGCCAAAAAACAGTTACCCAAGCAACTGGATATGATTTTGGAAACGGTCAGACGTTTCAGGTAGCATCCACTAACTTTTCGTCAGTGACACTGGAGAACTTGTGCAGAAATGCAGGTTTCAAGCAAGAACTATTGATAAACAAATAAGTGAAGACAAATTAAGGCTTGCACCAATATTCTTTTCCTGACAAATAATGAGTTGTGTTTTGATATGAACTTTTACAAAACATTGTCTCATTGATTCTTTTCTTTTCCTAACAGTATGGCTGGCCCACCAATGGAAGCTGTTGTTCCCAGTCCTTACACTGGAGCGTTACCTAGCAACGTGCCGGGCAACGCCTACTTCCACCCGATCCAGCAGCCGTACAGCGTACAGGAGACTACCTTCACACAGGCGGCCTCAGGGCCGGAAAACTACTCCAACAACAACGCACACGTGTACATACTCGACCCGCGGTTTGAAAATCATAGTCCTACACATTCTAACAAAGAAAAGAGGAAATCCAGAAGCCCTATAAGAGACTCGAAAAGTCCGAAGAACTCGCCCAACAAAAGGCAGTTGCCTGTACTGCCAAAACCGCACGGTAGAAAACTCCCCGTGACGCCCCGGCCTGCGTTTTACGCAGACCAGGAGGTACCAGCCGCGGGTTTGGCACAAGCTGCTGTTACAGCGTCAGACCCACAGTTAGCACACGAGACGAGAAGACTGAGGCGAGAAAAAAGTGAGAAAAAATCTTTGACGCCGAACGTATCAAGACGTGGTAAGAACAGAGTAGAGAAGTTTGTGTACCAACCCTCGCCGTACAACTCACTAGACAGGGCGATGACTACCCGACATTCTAAACGCAGTAGTAAGAACAGGTCGAAAGGGTCCGTGAAGAAGTCGAGAACAACTGAAAATTTCGCAGCACAGGTGCACAGTCCCTCAGAAATACCCTCTTCAACGGACGGGATGCGCAGCTCACAGGAGATAAAAATACGCGGGCCTTCCGAGAGACGAAAGGGCCACGGTCATAGTCATAGGTTAGGAAGCCAAGGCAGTCTGGGGAAAGCCTCCTCAAAGACAAGTAAAGAAGAGCTTTACAGATCATCTCGGGAACAGTTGCCAAAATATCCAGGACCTAAAACGCCTGATAGAAGAGGAAGCGAAAAAGGACAAACTTCAGAGAGAAGTTTGGAAACAGCACAGGTAGTTGAAAGACGGGAGTCATCGCCTGAACACAAGAAAACCACATCTAACCCGCCTGATCAGAGGAAAAGTTTGTCACCTGACAGAAAGAGTCCTCAAAAATCCCTGGACTTAAGAAAACTGGGTAACGAGCACTCGCTGTACGAACAGCTTGGTCTGAACGACAAGAAGCCGAAAACGGGGCGGAGACTTGCCCACTACGCCGCGCAGTCCGAGGACAGTAGGTCCCAGTTCAGTAGCGAAGGATCGTCGGCCTACGCCATGACCATGACACAGAAACTCTTTCACTTCGACGATTCCGAGCGGGATCAGTACAGAACTTCCATCGGTCCCGTCGGGGAAACCGTCTTCGAGGATTTGCGGAGAAGCGCAGACCTCGATGACGTAGTGACCCCGAACGGACACGTCATATCCAGCCCCACTACTGATGACGCGATATCTCCTACTAGTCCTAGCAACGGTGACGTCATCTCCAATCACTCTAGGAGACAACTTCCGAGAACGCCGTCACTAGAGGGGAGGAAGACCCCCCACGATCAGGTGTTTGTGGACAAGACCCCTGACCCGGAATATGACTACTACATGCCCGACCTGCCCGGGTCCTTCCTAAAGATGGACCAAACGTACATCGGGCGCCCCAAACCCATCACAACAAACCAGACCGAGCTGAAAAATATCCAGGTTCAGTTGGAGAGCTGTCCGCCTGATGCCGTACGCATGTAGACGCTCTAACGCGTTAAGACAGCATCACGCATCATCTGTTGGTTACACGTATCAATATCAACTTTTCGTCCAACACAATGTGATGTAGGGCCAATCAATTTTAACATAGAACTGATTATACTACACATCGCCACATTTCACATATCCTTTATACAGTCCAGCATTTATGGCTGATAAACTTACCAGACCTTACACCTGTGATGTGCAATGTATGGTATATATCTGTCCGAGTCCCTATTTTCCATGTGTGAAAACGTGTATGTCAGTTATCAGACGTATATACGTTACTACGAATGAGAACATTTTCTACAGCTCTATTGCAGAGTTTATATTGTTTGTGTCTAGAACAAATATAACCAGGAGCAAGCTCTGTGGATACATCAATTTGGCCACAAAGAAGCAATACCTTGTCTGATATGTTCCTGGAGCAAACGTTGAAAATTATTTCCACATTTCCACGTATTTCCACATGCTCATGATGTGCAATTTTCTCCGACTCTTATCAAGATTGTTACTGTACGGTACGGTAGTGGCTAGCCGGTCACCAATGTGAAGATAGTGTCAGCAGATCGTATCTGACAAACCTATACCGGGACTGCACCTTAGAAATGCATGGAGTATGTTGCACGTTGGGTCATGTGGTCCCTGGGCTCAAGAACGAACTGGCAATTGTCGCATATATGTATACAAGTCCTTGAATGTGCAAGCTGTATATGTATATATTTCGTGTTGACCGTCATATTTACTAAGATAAAGTTTTATGTGGTCCTTCATCAAAGCCGTGAAACGGTATGAAAGTCACTTCAGACGGAGAAAAAGCAGCGTTACACACAACGCTGTTGCAATAAACTTATTTGTACACCTTGTTTCTTGTGTCTTTGAAAGCTTTCTGTTCTTTGTAATCATGTATAGATAAACGCCAAAAAGCAGGTACTCAAGCAACTGGATATGATTTTGACGATAAAATCATATCCAGTTGCTTCAGTAACTGCTTTTTGGCGTATAGTATTGCCTGGATGTCTAACCTTCATCGACGCATGTATAGATATAACCTGTAGCACTATGGAAAATCCACACGACGGCGTTGTTTCGAAAGTGTCGTATTTTGAATGTGCATAGGACGCTTCTTCAGTGGTTGACAGGCTAGTAAACAATCTGATATCCAAGCAGAAGTAGGATCCAGGTCAAAGATCACGATTTATGCGTTAGAGTCTGCGAACACACGTGGGGTAGTGTGGCGTAGCGGCAGAGTGCGCGACTCGGAACTTAGAGTCCCAGGTTCGATTCCTGACATGCCACCGATCTTGTGCCCTTGGGAAAGGCACTTTACACGACTTTCCTCACTTAGCTCAGGTGTAAATGAGTATTGTCCTGTCATGTATTTGTCCCGTGTTGGTGGCGGCATTAATATAAGTTGAAAAAACTTGTGTGTGTCGTCACCACGTCTGGTGATTACATGTTGGAATAAAAATAAAAAACACGCGTAGAACACTGAGTCGGTCTTCACATCTGCTTGGATATCAGATATCGGCCCGAGTCTGAATACATTGGCAACGTCGCTAGGGGGCCCAACTCATATGTTTTGAAACTTGGCCGACTTCAAGCAAGGCTCTGCATTTACCAATACCCAAAATTTATTTCATAGAAATGATGATGCAAAAAACGCAAAATGTCCACAAAAATACTATATTTCACAAGTATGAAGGCAGTGTCATCTTTAACAGCAATATTCATGGGTTAAAGGCAAATGAAAGAGGGCATGGGCATATCACATTATCAGTATGGGGGTGATGCCATATGTTAGTGATTGCCACATGTTCTGTATCTGTATCTGTATCTGTATAGCCGGTATGACCGCCTTTCGGCGTAACACACCAGCTGTTGATGTTAATAACATGTAACTGTTCGTCATATTTCCAAAATATGTACGCTTTTAGCTTTATGTTGTGTTACATTGCAGCATTCTGAAAACACTTCAGACATGGCCAGTTTTACCCTATCCATTGTCTAGCCCAGCCATCAATCATTTTCCATAAAGCTATATTACTTAACGTTTAGTTCACCTGCTTTACATATGTGATACATGTCAAGTCAAGTATATCCATTCTACAAAAATACATTACAGTGTACATACTACACTGAGAATACTGAATGGTTTATCAATGACTATGAGAAGTTATTCTTGGATGTCAAGTTTTGCAAGAGGTCCTGCCTTTTTCTATTGAGGTTGCTTTTAGACAATTACCAGAGAAGGTAGCTCTGAGAGGGTAAGTCTGATTCATTTTCTACCTTCATCTTCTAGTATCCCATATTATGTAAGTTGTCTCTTAATTTTAGCTGAATATACAAATATGTCCTTGCTATAGCATATACATTGTACTTTATACACTTTGTTATCATTTCTTTGCCATACTACAAGGGGAATATTTCCCAGCATACTAGTAATTGATTGTAACAATTAGTTTTCCTGCTCCATATTGCAGCACCTTCTGTATTACTCTCCTGTACAGATTCTCCTTGACAGGAATTTATATCTCCAGGTAGTTATAGCCTGACTAATCGCGCTCCTGGCGGCCGCCCGCCCCAAAGTTGCCGCCCCCCTTTGAGGTGGGGGTCATTAACTGATGGCCGAGAGCTTGTGTAACACAGGCTACAGGTAGTTAGTGCCATGGTCATGGACTAACCTTAAGGCACTTCCAAAGTAAGTATAATTTCTCATGTACACAGCCCTGCCTACAACAAAAACATTTCAGTTTTTTAACAGGCAGTTAAGAGGTAAGACTTTGAAATTTACAACATACAACTTCTCAGCACTTTGAAGACTCCATACATTTCCATATAAACTGATAATGAAAAATGAAACTGATAATGAGATAATGAAACCATAAACTTATCAGTTTTTATGTAACTACAATTGTGTACAATGTACATATCAAACAGTCAAAGGTGGAAAACAAACTTGCTATTTCGTCGTAGACAATTATTCTATGCAAAAACAGTACTGGTGTGCCGAAATGTAACAGAGAGCACTGAGTATAACTGTACAGACAAAAGAAAACTGTCTTTTGGCACAAACCTTGAGCCATAGCATTACCTGGCAACCTTTTGTCAAAAGTAAGTGCATGTATGCTGAAAAGGAGGGTGCACATCGTTGTTGTATCAAGCATTTTTTACTGTCCACATTGTAGGATGTATGCCATCAAGATGATGCCAATGTTTTGGAACTTCTCCTGGTCCCAAAATTCTGAGCAACAGCAGCCAACCCCTGGAGCAGATACACAAAGGAAATAATGTAAATAATTCTGTATCTGTATCAGTATCACTATAGCCGGTATAACCGCCCTTCGGCGTAACACACCAGCTTCGCAGGCACGCGGCGCAGTGGCAGCTAGCTACATCACACTGAACGACTTGTTACACTCAATCTTTGCATATTTAATTGCAGGTGATGATGCCCCTACTGTGCTTGGAGGCACAATAAGATAAAAAATTCACATTCACTGTACATGGATATCAAAAGTGACTTAAGGTATAATAGCAGAAAGAGAATCAAGAGCTTCATTGGACTTTCTGATCTCAACACTCACCTTATCAATAAATCCATGCTTTTCCTTAAGCAGTGGTGGCTTCCTGTTGTTCTGATGGGTCCTCTGTGGCAGCAGACTGAATATCCATGGACTGTTCAGACTCACCACCAAGTACTGAGCTGTCCTTTTCTCCTACTTCAGCAGTTTGGGATGTGTCTGCTTCAGTAGCTTTTGATGCACCACTGTTGGATGAATCCTCATGCTCTACTGTTTCACCTGTACCCACATCTTTGTCTGTTTTCTCTAGTGCTGTTGTTGGTGAGACTTTACCACTAGTGTTCAGTTCAGTATTGGGATTTTTATATGCTGGTACGACTCCAGCTTTTGCTCCCTTCAACTGTTCTGTTGGACTCACACTGTGTGAGGCAAGACTTTGAAATATGTTTGAAATTGTTCTTGTTCGAGGCACCCCAGCCCCTTTCAGCTTCATTTTTGCCGTAAGAAAACCTGATTGTTCATCTTGCTCCATGTGTAATGTCATCCATGGGGAAACATCTTTTACTGGGGCCACAACACCCTGAGGAGGTGGGGCAAGTTTGACTGGGGCTGGGGCAATTTTGACCGGGCCTGGGGCGAGTTTAACAGGAGCTGGGGCCAGTTTGGATGTACCTGGATGAGCTACTTGGACTTTGCTGCTGAGTACTGTGCCCACTGGAAGGGTGACTACCCTTGAACATTTTATCACTTGGATCGTTGGGACAGGCTTTGTCTCCGATGAGGAGCCAGATGTAGTTGGGGTAGTAGATTTTGCTGAAGACACCATCCCTACAGGTGTAGCTATGCTAGTTTTGTTGTCAACAATACTGAACCTCATAAATTGCCCTTTGGTGCTAGTAACTGGAACAAGTTTTAAGGATGAGTTAGAAGTTGTGGAAACTTTTGTTTCACTGCCTGTTATTGCTGTTGTGGTCGCCATTGCTGCTTCCTTATGAGGGGCCACCTCTGAACTACCACTTGGTACAGGGGATGGAGATGAAGCAATGGACACCACTTTGATTAGTTTAGACACATCATTTTTTCCAATGGCACTCAGCGTTACCGGCACCAGCTCTGGAGGGGCCTTTGTACTTGTCAGGTGAACTTGCCCTGTGGTTGTGACGGGAGTTGCCACGTCCTGAGTGGCTACTGCAGGACTCGAGGCACCCTGGATGGGTACTGCGATGACACCTCCTGCAGGTAGGAAGTCACAGTTCTCCAGGAAGATAGGCTGTCCCCGTGGTGGAGCGTGGCCGGCCAACTGGACAATGGGCACGTTGGTGACAGTGGCAGCCTGGGAACCGCCTCCTGGGGTGATCTGTATCCCATCAGCACTCATCTTCACACAGCCACCTGGGGGAAACAGGATGGATCAACTGTATGAGGAGCATACTCATATTATTTTCTAGCCTTGTGGGAAAGAAATGAAAATTTTAGCAGCTTTCTAGCTTGCCAAGTTTTTACACCAAACAAAAGGAATAGCACAATATCTAAAAGCTTTGTGACAAATCCTGTACATGTAGGGAAGGTGTACATGTACATTTTGGTATACCACATCAAATTTTCCACAAAAGTATTACAAGTGTCCTAGTCTGCAAGGCTGATGATGGCAAAATTCTATCCCAATTAACTATAACTTTGGCCAACATACATGTATCAAGTTCAGTTAAACAATACACAAGCTATTCAACTGCTTTTTAGTGTCATTTCTTCATACCTTTAGTACTCGTAGGATCTGTTGTGACCTGGTACGGAGACCATTGTGAATCTTGAGGCTGTGTTGGAGTCTGTGGTCGGGTGGTTCGGAGGATGTTAGGCTTCTTGGCACCTGCTGCTGCAAGGTTTGTCAGGCTCTTCACGGTCCCACCCTGGATCTTGAAGGTCTGCATTCCTGAAGAATAGGATAAGACTTGCATGTTCATTGTTTACTGTTAATGCTTAAAATCAAACTTACCAAAGTGGGTGGGTGTTTGTCAATGTATGTTATTTTGAAAAACACTGACAAAACTTCACATTATCTGTACAACTTGAATACAAAAAGGGATGAACAACAACAAAGAAGACAAAGTAAGGCAATACTAATGCAAGGGCAACAAATAAATTTGACATGTCTACCTGAGGCTCCTTGAGCTTCACCAACCACAGGTCCTGACTGGCTTGCTTGCTGAGCTGAAGTCTTGCTGGAGTCTGCTGCAGGTGCCTTGTCTTCCTTACTGTTTGTAGTCTTCAACTGAGAATCAGGAAGATCCTGTGACTTTGCATTGTCTGTACCAGAGCGAGCTCCATCATCGTTCCTGCAGAAAATGATTGGATGTCATTTAGTCACTAACAACAGTCAACAGTTGTAATCAGGCTATGGTTCCACTCTTTGTCAGACACTGTTTTGCTTTTGGAAAGCACCACTGTCATATTTTGTACTTTAGAGAACATTTACACAAAAAAACACCAAAGAAAAATGACTGACCTGCTTGGTTGAGTCTGTTCCAGATTACTCAGTTGTTGGGGAGTAATGGTCTTCCTGTTGGCATTGGTCTTCCTAAAGGTGCTCTTTCTGGCCTTCTTTCTTAGTCTGCCACCTTGTGCATCAGTTCGTGTGGTAGCATCTTCTTCAACTAGCTTCCGCTTATTTGCTTCCAGTGTTTCTTTTTCCAAGGGTTTTGCTTTCGGGACCTCTACCTCCATTTCTGAGGGTGTCACATCTTTCACAGATGTAACCTCTGTATCTAGCTTTGGCTCTGGCAGCTCTTCCCCTTTCTTCAGTCTTTCCAGCCCTTTGAGAAACTCCTGCTGCAGCACAGATGCTTCTTCTTGTGCAGCATCACGAAGTGGACGCGACACATGTGGCTGAATCCTGGTAAGTTTCGGAGGACCTTCTTTTCTTTTGGAACTGGAGGCAAACTGACTGACGTGACGTCTGGTTACTTTTGAGGGTCTTTCTGTTCTTTCAGCAGAGGATGGTCTGCTGTAAGTTTCCTCACCTGAGTCTGATTTTGTGTCATCTACTTCTAAATTCATTAATCTGTCATCAAAGAAGCCAGGTTCCTCTGAAGCGAGCATGAACCTTTCACGCAGCTCAGCTCCACTATATGCTGCAAAAAACATACAAAAAGCAGGATGATAAATGGGTATCAGCAATACTGTTACAGGTTATTTTATCCAATAAATTAATTTCTCATTGTACTTCATAAAATAAAAGAAAGGTACAGGTACCCAGGTCATTCTTTTGCCAGTCCATGCATGTGAATACAATACAGAATATTGTTCCTGGGTGTTTAATGTCATCCTTTCTACTCTAAAAGGAAACAAGTCTACTCACCTGACTGTGGGCTGTTTGCTATTCTCTTGATGAGCTTATTCCGCTGAGCAAACAGATTTTGTTTGGCTTCCATCAACTGGCTTTCTTCCCTCTTCAACTGGTCAATTATTTCTTTGCTCTGAAGAACATTAAAAACACAGAACACAGCTTTGACCAAAGAACAACACAGCTTTGACCAAACACTTTTAGGCAAATACTCCCTCCAGTATTCTGTTAATGTAATATACAAAACAATGCAAGGCAGTGCCACATTGTTAGCAAAAAAAACTTAGTCATTCAAGAAAACACACCTTTGTGAGGACATGGATATTTGGCACTCTGTCGTCTTCCCTTGGGATCCCCAGCAGGGCTTTCAAGTTACCGAACAGATCCCTGATCTCTTTTCTCCTTCTCCTCTCGTTGGAGATATGTAGCAGTCGGCTGACTCCAAGCCTTCTGTCCAACAGAGCTGTTCAACACAGACACATATCAAACCATGTGTAGCACTGTCAGTTTTACTTGACAAACAATCCACTGAAAGATGAATTTCTAAATGACATTTCTCATCTGCATCCAAACAACTCAGAACAATGATGAACCAAGACAACTGCTTACAATATTTTAACATTCAAAAACAGCTAATACAAAACTATGAGACTAAGAGCCAATAGTAATACAAAATCATAAAGACATTCCAAATGCATAAAGGACTTACTCTTTTTTGCTTCTGCTGCTTCTGCCATCAGTTCCTCTCTTCCTTTCTCAATGAACTCCACATCATCTGGTTCAAATTCTTCCATGACCGACTTTCTCCTTTTCTTCACCTTCAGACTGTGCACAGAACACTGCGGATTGATCACCTCCCCACTCGCGGCTATGCTCAACCGAAGTTTGACCGATGCAGGGGTGTCGTCATCATCATCATCATTGGCGACAATGTCAACAAGATCAGCATCTGTTTTCTGTTTTTGTACCACAGAAGGAGCTTGGAGCCCATCAACATCCACCACGTCCACATTGTCTTCTTCTGAGCTGACAAGGGAAACTACTTCCTGCCCAATGTTATCATTTGTCTTCTGAGTCTGATCCTTTGACATAGCTTCTTTACCTTCTTTGTTTTTCTCTTGTTGCCTGGTCTCATGGTGTTGGTCTGTGCTCGTGTGGGTAGCTTGGTTTTCCAGCCATTGATTTTGCTCATCAGTGGCAACCGTTGGCACAAAAATCCCCGATGTGGCAATCTTCTTAGGGGATTCAGTTTTCTCAACCGTTTCATGCTTTTCAGCAGCCTGAGTGACACCCAAAGGTTCCTCACTCTCCTTGCTACCTTCCTTTGGATCCATTTCTTTTATTCCATCATCTGAAGGATCTGCTGCCTTGTCATCATCAGCATTTTCCTTGTCATCATCAGCAGTATCATCAGCTGCCTGCTGCTCTGACACTTCCTTGGATTCCTCTCCTGATGGTGACTCTACAGGATCCTTGCACTGTTCTTCAGTGGACTCATCTGCAGTTTGAGTGGACTCCTCTTCATCACTGGACGAACTGTCACTGGATGAGGTGCTATCTTCACTTTCTTCAGATGACTCTGCCTCATCATCTTCCAGAAGAGGATTTTCAGGAACAAAAGTACCAGTTGAGGTCACTCTTTTGGCAGGATCAACATTGCTTGCCTTTTCTGCTGATGCTATAGAGGCAGCAACTCTGGTGATTAGACTGTCCAGTGGGTTTTCAGGAATAAATGTACCTGATGTTGAAACCTTAGATGGCTGGTTCTCTTGTTGTTGAGAACTATCCACTTGTTCAGTTATGGATGTACTTGGGGAATGGTCCAAGTCATTGTCCACTGCACTGTCTGCATCTTTGTTACCACCTGCCTGGCTGGCAGATTCCTGTTCTTCCTTACCAGAATCTACAGACACATTTTCTGTCACCTCTTTCTCCTGGATACGGGATGACTTATCTTGTGCTGTACTATCACAACTGTTCTCTTTGCTTGTTTCTGAGACAATTGCTTCACCTGCCTCAGTCCCTCTAGCAACATCAGCAGCATTTGCAGCTGGATCAGACACAACATTTTCTGACGGCTCCAAAGATTTCATTTCTACCTGACTTGAGGATTGCTTTTGTGAAGTTGCATCACCGTCAGATTTCTCTGATAAGACATGTCCTTCTTCAGCATCATTTTCAGGAGCATCAACAGAACCATCAGGTTTGGACACTGATGATTTTGAAGAAAGATTATCCTTATCATGTTCAGTAACTACTTCTTTTGTGGCTGCCAAAGTAGCTTCCTCTTCAATTGGTTGCTTTTGTTCCGAGTCCATGTCCTCATCTTTGCCAGTGCATCTGTTGTCCTTCCCAATTACTTCTGTGGAGGGTGATGGAGGGTTTTCCTTTGGTTGTTCCTCAACATCAACCAATGAAGAAGCCAGATTATCTTTATCCTTAGCACTTGCATCATCACTGGGAATATGAGGTTCAGTATTAGGTGATACAGCTTGGCTTGTTCCAGTCACTTGTTTAGTGGACAGCACTGCTTCAACTGCTGTCTTTACCGCTGTTTCTTCACCGTGGTTTGCAACTGTAGTTGTTGTTACTGCCTTTGTTGATGTTGGAGTATCATCTGGGAGATCATTACCTGATGACTGTACTCTATCCTGCCTTTCACATTCATTTGCTCCTTCTCTGGCTTTACTTTCCTCCATTCCTCTTTCCATCTCTTCATGTGTTGAAGATTTAGGCTCATCTTTTTCTCCTGATGATTTCTCTTGTATCAGAGGATCATCTGAAGACCTGGCTGGTATTTCGTTATCATATGATGGTGATCCTTGTTCTTTTGAGGATGCAAGGGTATCACCAATTGTAGTTTCAGAAGACACTGTTGTATTGGAGATACTAGCCAAACTTTCAGCACAAGATACAGCCACCCCATCTTCAACTGGTCCTGAATGTTCTTCGAATTCATGGTTTCTGTGTGTGGAAGTTCTAGATTCTTCAGGTACCGAGGGTGGACTGTTATTGTCTGACGTCAGACTTGTCAACAAACCATCACCAACAGCAGACAAATTCCCATGTGAAGGTACATCAGAGGCGATTCCGTGTGAGGTGCTTGTCTTTTCCTCTGTATTCACTGCTGTCGACCCATTGAGTTTTTGTTTTGCCTGTTCAGCAGTCAATTTCACTTGTATGCTTGGAGCTGTGGGTGCTTTCTTTTGTACAACATTGGTCTTCTGGCCTTCCCCAGAACTCTTAGCCATACTTGGGACAGCTTGGATTTCAACATGTGGATTGGAAGTTGGTTTCACTTGAGCCTTGGATGTTGGAAGTGGGACTATAACTGCAGGCTTACCAGCTGCAGTCTTCAAAGGGAGTTGCTTCCAGATCTTCACTCTTGCACTCTGTATTCTTGGAGGCAACGTCTGCAGCAGGTTTGCTGGGAGGTTGTAGATCCTTCTCTCCTGACTTGGCCCCATTACCTCGATAAAGAAGTCAGCAACTTGGAAAATACGAGGCAAACTGAGACTCTGGCTTTGTTGAGCTATCATCTTAAGAATCAAATTCCTGGCGCTGTCCCAGTTGCAAGTGGAAATAATTTCAACAAGTTTTGGAGAATGTACAATCTGCTGTGACTGTTTTCCGGGACCAGAGGAAGGGTTTGTTGTTTTCTGTTCAATGAGAATAAGTTGACTCTGTGGATACTGTAGCTGTTGGAGTGCTGCCTGTGGAACAGTGACCACAGGGATCTTGCTGAGATGTCCTGGTTTTGTCTTTGTGCTTGATGCAACAGTAACAGCAGTTGCTGTAGCTGTTGGAGTGCTGCCTTGTGATGATGTATGTGGAGAGGCAGACTGTTGACCAACAGACGGATTTCCTTGTGGTACTGCTGGCTTGGGTTGTGTCACCGTTGGTGTTGAATCTGCTCCTCTTTCTACTTTTTCTAACGTAGAAGAAACAGGGACATAAACTTTGGGTGCATTTGGATTAGCACCTGGAACCAACTTCAGTACAGCAGCCTTTGAAGGACTATTCTGTTCTGGTGGCTTTGAAGAATTACCAGCTGTTGCCAGAGCCCCAATGATGCCAGGCCCAATCTGCATGGTCCTGCCCATCCACAGTTTCCCATGTCCTGAAACGTCAGGCTGATCTTGGGCAGCTGCAGCTTGTGGCTGGGTTTTGGGCTTGAAAACTTTAACACTTAAACTCTGAGGGGGGGATGACTTTGATACATTTTCAGTATTGGCCTTTGGTGACTTGGTTCCTTGCAATACCTTCTTTCCAACTTGTGGTGATTTGGATCTAAAAGTTTCTGGTGACTTCTTTGCTCCTGGTGACTTCTTTGCTTCTGGTGATGCGGCTTTATTGTGGTGGTGGTGATGTTTAATGCCACAGGAACAGGGTCTGGTCTTGGCTGTTCTTCTATGCACTCTTGCCCTTGCACATGTCATTGTAATATCATCGTCACGATCATCATCTTCAATCCACCTATGTGAAGCGAACCTTGTGTTGACATCAGATTCTACCACAGGTTCTGGTCTAACTGTTCTTTCAAAATGAACGTCAGATTTTGAAGTGGTTTGTTGACTATTAAATGGCTTGAGCAAGGGCATTGCTTTGATTTGTTTGAATCTTTGAACTGGCTGAGGAGGTTCAAGTTCTGGTGGAGACAGCAAGGCTTTCTTCAAGAACTTGCCAGTTTTCTTGTCTCTTGGCTGAAAAGCCCTGCCTGTCTTTTTCTCGTGAACAATACTCTGGGTCCTTTCAACAGACTCTGGGCTCTTCTTCTTCTTCCTTGGCGGTGCATCGTCACTTTCAACATCCTGGCTCTTCTTCTTTTTTGGCGGGGATGTGGATAACTCGGGGTAGTATTCATAATTCATAGCGTTGAAGAATGATAGTGACTTTGCAGTCACTCTTCGCCTTGGTCTCCTTCGTGGGTTCTTTTCATCGCAGGTAGCATCATCGTGGTCATCTTTCAAGATAGACACCCTTCTGGACTCAGGGCTTGATTTCCCGCATCTGCAGCCATCCAACATGCAGCTTGGCTCATTGCAGTGTTCCCTGTCATTGCAGTACCTCCATCCAGAGCTCAAACTGTCACAAATGCATCCCAATTGACAGTAGACCTTACCGCAGGGTGCTTCTTCTACTTCTGCTACTACTACTGCTGCTGCTTCATCTCTTTCAAAGTAAGCCTTGTCTTCTTCTTGCGGATTTTCCAGCTTCTGGACCATTGCATGGTGGGATTCTTTTTCCTCCATGTTCATGTCCTGAGGACTGGTACACACAGCCATCACTGCTTTCAGGGCCATGGTGGCTGTCACAACATTTGACGTGAATTGCCTCAGAGGCGGCATTGGGTGGTCGGGTGTTTTGGGGGGCCTCCACCTAGCATATGGCTTAAAGCTTTGGTCCTGGTTTTCAAGTGCCTTCTTTCTCTTTTTCCTTTGCTTCTTCCCAGACTGCATCCAACTCTCCACCATTTCCTTGCTGACCACTTTGATGGAGCTACCTTCAGGAATGCTTGAAAGCCCAGTGGGGACCTTCTTCTTCTTGGTCACTTTGCCTTTGGCAGCCTGCTGGTTTGCTTTTTTGGGTTTATGTGTCATGGACTGGAACTTTGTCGTGGCCACTGAGGGCATGGTATATGTAGAAGAGACTGAGGAAGTTTGATCCAAGTTACTGCTGCTTGTTGGTTGAGACACCTTTGTTGGAGACAGGATGGCAAGCTTTGACTTCCAGCCTTTAATCTTTGTGATGTCTGTCGTCTTTCCTGTTCTGGACACAAACTGTGGGCTGACTGGTGAAGGTTCTGGATATCTCACACAAGGAGGTGACCCTATCATTGATCTGTCTTTTGGTGCCATGAGGATAGAGGCCAAGATGGAGCCTTGCGGTGAAGCCCTTGCTTTACTGCCATCACAATGTTCAGGAGACCTTGGGCTACTGTCCCTGGGAGGACTTTGTAGTACTTCCATGTCAACTCCCAGCTCCTTAAGGTTTAAGGTAGGGCTGTGGCTTAACCCGATGTGTTTGCGGCTTAGTTCTGGGTGAAGTATCTCCCGAGACTTGCTTCTCTTTACCTCAGCTCTTAGCAGTTTTTCATACATTGCAATTTTGTCGTACAGCTCAGCTGCTTCAGTAGAATCAGGGCTATCTTTGGCCATTCTTTGTATTCTTCCCGACTTGTTTTGCCCAAGTTCAATCAATACTTTGTCCAGCTCATTCCCAAATTTCTCACGTGTTTCTCTCTCAACAGAGGAGTGAGCACTAATTGCCTGTTTGGAGCTGAATGACACAAACATCACTCCATTGATGTCATCTACATCAGGAACAAGCTCCTCTGAATCAGAAGATGCACCCTGCTCTGCCAGCATTTGTGCAACTTGTTTTCTCTTAGGAGAATCAAACTCATCAGAGTCACACATTTGTTCTTCACATAGTAAGTCCCCATCAGTTCCTTGCCCTCTGGATTTGTTTTGATCCGAAGGTACTGGCTTCTTCTCAGTCTTTGCTGCATCTTGAGCAGCCAATGCTGGTTTGTCCCTTAACTCATTTGTATCCTGTAAGCTTGCACTAACTTTTGGCTCAAATGTGAGACTCCTGGAAACAAAGTTGCTAGGAATGGTTGTTGATACAACTGTTGCTTTAGCTCTTCCATACATGGATAAAGTTTGACCTGCCTGCTGTTGGCTAACAGTCGTTGGACACTTGAGTTTGAACACAGAGATCTTGAACCTTGTTGTGGGTGAGATGGTAGGGGAACTTTCTGTTGAAGATTTCACGTCCTTGGTTGGATTTGAGATGTCCCCTCCTAATGGAGAGACTTTATGGTCTTCACTTGGTTGAACCACTGTTCCCTTCCTCTCCAACTCTTCAAGCATACTGAAGATGTTATCATGCTTCTCTTCAGCCACTGGTGATCCACTGCCAGTCTTCTTGCCAGGCTCCAATGTACCTTCCGAACTGTGTTTAGAAGTTCCAGGTGGTGACAGTTCCTCACATTGGCTCAACGATGAGGAGCTCCTTGCAGAAGATGCATCAGTGGTTGAGCTAACTTGCTTTGGTGGTGTTGGTGGTCGGCCGGTGACAGCAGTCGTTCTCCGTGTGTGGAACCTTGATTGCAAAGCTGGCTGTTTGCTACCATCTTTTGTGGCCGTGACTTTCACCTTGTTCCTCTCCATGTCCGACTTAAACGCTACCATTTTCTCAGTTGGAATCCGTGTAGAGCGTAGCGATCTGCCCTCGGGCATCATGTCCCATAATATGCTACGTCTTTCAGCTTTTCCTGAAGAATCTGAAACATTTGATGCCTGATTTTCTTCTGAAGTGTTTTTCCTCATCTTTTTTCTATCTGGAGAAGGAGGAGTAACATTTGCTGTTTTCGAACCTGGAAAAAGAATCCTTGTACTACTCAAGCGTTTAGGCGAATTGTTGACTGACCTAACTTGTACTGGAGAAACTTTCTTTGCCGATTGAGGTGTTTCCGCAGGAATATTTGTTGCTCCTGAAGTGGCAGCGCTCAATGAACATCCATGGGGAGGAGTACTGCTCTTTCTGATGCTTTTTCTAGCTGTTCTCTTGCTTTGAGGCTTAACCACTGGAGAGCTTGATGTGGTATATCTGCTTCCTTGGCTTTCTGCATAATTGGATGTACTTGGCGTGGCTCGAATCTTCCTTTCAATCTCTACAATCCTGTTGCCCTGTACCTTACACACTTTTATAATTGTATCGGTCGAGCTTGTCCCTTGATTCTGTGCCTGCCCTGCACTTTGCAACAGCGTACCTGCAGGCACTTTTGCTTTGGGGTTAGTAGAAGTTCCTGGTTCATCTGCCTTACCATACCTCTGTTGTTGTGATCTAAGGTTTCTACTTGGACTTTCTGGAACTGGTGCATTGCTATCAGTCTTCTTACTTTTCCCTTGTGTCCACCAGTGTATTGTTTCTGGATCCAACCTTGTCAGCTTTAAGATTGCTACAGACTTGAATATTGGCCTATTAACTTTTCTATGAGAAGGCTTGCTTGATAATTGTTTTCCTCTCTTCCTTGATGGTGGCATCTTGTCGTGTGTCACTTCTGGACTCTTTGAAATTTAGCATAAATATCTGTTTGCCTGCATTAATATCTATCATATGCAACTTTCATGCTAGGCACTTTCTCTTTCTGTTGTTGTCTTTCTTGGCCTTTTGGGTGAAGGCTATTTTGAAGAACAGTATTTCTGACTTCCCTCAAGAATATTGTATTTTTTCTTTTTATCCACTTGTCCTGTACTTATTCGAAGATCAGACTACAGATTCATCTTAGCTGAAAATAAAGGAATGGTAAAAGGACTGTCAACAAATAGTACCTTATCATCCATTTAAACAAGGACATCAAGAGTATATCTGTAATGTAATGTTCCTTATATTTATAAAATTTCCTGGATGATTTGTACCTTTGCTATAGACAATGCAGACCTGTAACGTTACATGTTTGTGACATGTGATGACACAGTGATATTGCTATGATAGTGGTGGTAGAGATAGCACACATGAAGAATTGCATGTACACGCAATTATTCAGTTCTAATTTAGCAATGTGCATGCAATTCTTTCAAGGTAAGTAGGCATATAAATATTTATATGTAGCTACCTACTATAACAAATAGTCCACAATGATAACATGGCAGGCATAGCAAATCTGTATAAACCGGCAAAAGTTTTCAAACATATCTGTCACTCAGTATATAAGCAATATCCAAAATTATCTTTCTGTAAGCAATATCCAAAATTATCCATTTTCCTACAGCAAAAGTTACTCAAAAGTCAAAATCACTCCTCAATAGCCAACTCCAAGTACACTACATACAATACTGTAAGTACAGCAGAAATATCCTACATATTCTGTTCACAAACAAATCAACAAGCCAACATGCAATGTACTACAATATCAGAAAACATTGATTTCTTGTGGTTATTTGTTGAGCTGGATGTAACTGTGCATCTACAGTTAACCACGTGTGTATTGAACATGATACCACAAACTATTTGAAGTATTCAAACATACTAGTACATGAATGAACAAACAACACCCATAGTTATTGACTGTTGATCAAGCAATATGTATAGTACTCATACCAAAAAAATTAGTAACACCCTGTATAACCAATCTCTATCTTTTAAACATATTACAAAGTTACAAACTAAACTTACCTTGAATGTAATGCCAATCTTCGGAGATGAAGAACTGTAGTTCTAGGAAGGCCTGGAAAAAAATTAATGCATAAATGTTACATGTATATCATATGTTTAAAAGGAAGACCAACATATTGCCTATGTACATTTACATTACACCTAAATAACTAACATATACTTATAGTTTCTTCATTCATGTAATGCCATCTAACAAGAGTTATCGACTTATAATTTATAAATCACATATAATGTACCAACACAAGCTCTTGACTCGCACCTTACTCCATAGATCATAAAAGCCCCCTGAAAAGATTCTTATTATTCATGTGGCCATCATAATTTACATACAGCAACAATATTGTTTCTTATGTATCACTAATTCGCTATAATTTTTTGGTATTGTTGTATTGCGAATGATAATAAAGTTTGAATAAAAAAATACAGCAACAGAGTAATGATATTAACATCATGTAAAGAAATAAAAACAAACTTTAGGTTCACGGTAGCAAAAGTTCGCGATTTGAGAAAAATAGAGGTGATCACGGAACTATATGTTCACAGTGGCAGCAGGTGCAGAAAAAAGAATGCAAATTATTTGTTAGCGGTACTTCATGTAAGTAGTGACCCTAAAAATCGTGAACATGAAAATACATGTACATATGAACCGCAAAGAAAAAAAACACAGGAATTACAGTAGCTTGTCCGCACACTAGTGCAGGTGACACTCAAGATTTTACCTGCACCAGACAAATTAAAACCGACATCACTCTGCTCGGCAGGTATGGATCCAAATGGAAACTGTTAGGGAATCATTTCAATAATATCTTTCAGCAACACATTTCTGTACGAAACAAAAATATTCGTATTCTGTACGAAACAAAATTATTCCTATTCTGTACAAAACAAAAATATTCACCTACAGGTACACTCATGTACTCAGTATTCTGTGAAAACTCTGTACAGGTAACAGGTGGTGCATGCACTGACCTACATATGCAGAATGGTATAATGATACCCACATAGTATTGATGAAATGTAATATTCAAGTCCTTTGCCATTATTAATGTTTATCATGTTATAACATTAACCTCAGAAAGTCCAATACTGCATGTAGGTCACCACTTCCCACTGTTGACTTAACTTATTTCTAAAGGGACCATAAACTTTTTAGCACCCCCATGGAATACATGTACCCGGTATTTACAAAAATGCGAAAATAGGCAAATAATAAACATCTGCGACAAAGCACTTGAATGTTACAGGCCAATGTTTTATGCATACTAGTATTAAATTTGTCATGCTTTGAACTTCCCAACTGCAAACATTCACGCCTGACTTGATACGCTGACACACACAAAAACAACACGCCGGAACATATTTTAAAAGCTACAGGTATGCAAGCAGGAAGTATTTGTCACTTATGCTGCCAACTGAACTTTCCCTGCACAGTGCACTAACAGTGCCTGCTCTTGGCTCACAATGTAAAGACAGGTGAGAGAGGGGGCCAGGACCGCCAGGTAAGGTTACAGGTGGTCAGAATACTTAGTATCCAGGACTTGTAATAAATAATATTCTGAATACAGTCATAGCTTGTTGTTCTCAAAGCCAGAGTGCACAACATCCATATTCACGCTAGCGCTAGAAAGCATATTTGGGAGCAGACTGGAAGCAGAAGTAATCATGTCTGAGTATGCGTATGTGCCCTGTTTCGGCAAATGTTTGTTAATAGCTAGACCATGGGGCTTTGCGGCAAGGCACAGGGCTCCACCCCACGAAACCCTCTAACTCCGGACGCCAAACAAAATAACGTTGACCTGCGTTAAATATACAATTAGTTTGCTACCCACGCCGTGTGTTGCTAAAGAAAGAACTGATCTACACGATACATGGTGTCGAAATCTTCAAAACTGCGGTACTGCGTCTTATTTTGCATGTGAATGAGACGTTACCCTACCCAGACACGTGCCCAGTCTAATACAAGGGCTATGCAATATAGAGGGCGTTCATATTCGCGGGTTCCGCTCGCTGCGTACCCCCACAAAATGTCATAAAACTGCCACGAACAGGACTTTAATCCATCAACGTGTCATCTGTGACGACTTACATTATCAGGCGTGCCGTTAGCATGGTGAATCATGGCATACAGTGCGATTCCGCTGAAATATTTCCGCTACTTTCCGTCCCATACCCCCTGGTAAACGTGTTTTCAAGATTGCAGACTCCCGGAACTAGGTCCACGACGGCGGTCTTGGTATGAGCGGCCACTACGCCCTTCCTTTTCCTATTCCGTACAATCTAGCCCGATAAAAATCACAAGAAAATGGTAAGTTACCTGCATCGGAGCTTTAATTCGGGATATTCTCGTCGGTTTGTGCAGAATCCGGGCAAGAACTCGGCACTACCCCTCCTGCCTCGCGTTTGTGAACATGGCGGCCATGGCTCGTTCACGAAATGCACCCTGGGTAGGAAATCGCGCCAAGCCGCGTGCTACGAAAATGGCGGACAGACGGTCATTGAATTGTCTGCTTTCTACTCGCCGTCTTGTACGTAATATCTGTGAGGAGTGTGATAAAACTTTGTCTGCAAGTAGAAATACCAAGGATACATTGAACTTTCACAATACAAAGACATAGGTAAGCTGTTTTAGCCGTATTTTTCCATGTTGGCAAGTTTCAATGGATAATGTAGTATCACCAGTATGTAAACTAAGGAGCAACACCGCAACGTACAACCGTATACTTATAAAGTACCAGTGATTCGTGTACTTATGAAAGACTTGGTTGTAATGTTACCTCTGAAAACATCATTCCATGTATGCGGCGTATTGAAATGGTCCTCAAAGTTTCCCGGTGATCAGTAGCATTTGAACCGGGTGCAGTAATTAATGCTAATGTACACCATTTGCTGCAAATTTTACACAATCTATACAATGAAGACATTGACTTGATTTTGAAAGGATGTTAAACAATCCTATCAAAGCACCTAATGATAATCCTATCAAAGCACCTAAGAAAGTGGCGAGTTTCTAGCTGATGCTCTTGGTTTTGCTATTGCTTCAACAGACTGCCATCGATTAAGAAATGGCTCTACTTCGCAATCAACATAGGACGCATCGCGAAGGTCATGTGTTGACAAACATACGGGCAGAGATCACACAAATGACAAAATGTTCCAAATGTTTTCTCATTGTTGAGTGTAAAAGATGTATGATGAAGGAAAATGACGAACTTTTTGCAGCCAGTAAGTTTCGAAGTAAGCAAGGGCATTTTCCTTGATGTGAGTAACAAAGGACATTTCGTTGACTGTATACTACACATGAGTACTATCGTTGTGTCTGTGCGCGTGTGTGCGTGCGTGTGTGTGAGTGCGTGTTCGCGAGCGTATGTGTTTTCACACATGTTTCACATTGAAGACTGACAGTGCCCACGTTAGCACCTTCCATATCTAAGTTCGCTTTGCACGGTTGGTCTTGGTGGTCAACTACAGTAACGTTAAAACAAATAGGCGTGTAGCCAATCTTTGCTTTAGTAATATTTGGCGCATTGAATAGGAAAAGTGAAGAATAGTATCGAGAAGTGGTCACTTCATGTCCATTACTCCTGTCAACGTTTTAGGTGAAGCACTGAAGAAAATAATCACTCAAGCAAGTGGATAGATTTTGAAAACTGTCAGGCGTTTCAAGTAGCATCCACTACTTTTCGTCCAGTTGTGACTGATCTATGAAATCGTGGTTGCTATCTGCAACGCCTGATAGTTTTTTAAATCTATCCAGTTGCTTCCGTAACCGTATCTCATTACATGGGTGTCTAACCTTCAACGTCCGTGATGAACTGATATTTCTCATCTTGTACACGTTACGTGTGCATGTGTCCCTCACAAAAATGATCATAAGTGTCAAGCATTGTGGACTTTTAGGCCACCCCATTATCTTAAGGTACAGTCGTTTGGTATTGCGGTTGACAAGAACTAATGATAGTTGGAGTGGCATCGCAAGTGCATAGTTGCAATCACGAATGACTGTGGAAATTCTAATTTTCAGTCTAAACGGAATAGTCATGATAATTCATAATATTAGTCGGAATAATGATCATTTTTCGAAGAAAATCGCAATATTTGGTCGTTGTCTTCTGTTTCCGTTACTTGGCACTTGAATCTGTCTTAAACTTTGAATCTCTGAATCTTGTTTCATCTTACAGGAAGCTGTTGACGGTACGCCCATTGCCAATGCTGCTGTCCCACGTCAACATCAGAATAAGCAGGAATTCCATGTTTGTCTATAGATCAGCAACGAATAAACGACAAATGCAGTGAGGTACAATTAGGATCAGCAGTTTTAAAGAATACATGGTTGTCTAAAGCTGCCCTGATGTCGACAGTAGTAAGATAACTAACTAGTGGAGTTGTTGTCATCACAATGATCAATATGTTGAGATCTAGACACTAGACTTCGTGAATAAATAGTGGGGATTACGCGATCGACAAACCAGATGCATGGATGTCAGACTGACCAGCCGAAGAAGATATTTCCAGTGAAGCTCAAGGATGGCCAACTCCCCTGACCAGCTACATTCTTTTAGGCCGATTTCTACTATTTATTCAGCCTACAAAGGAGTCTGGTGGAGATTACCAAATGGTAGGCTACACGGTGCACGTGTTTATAGTATATCACCGCAACATGCTGTTATCATTCTAAGCGCGAATGAAACATTTTGATTGATGTTAATCATCAAACTCATTTACATTCACACTGGTATCAACTGCTTATTGGCTTTAATCTAAAATGGAGGAGCAAAAACATGCCCTTACACAAAAGTCACAGGCAACATGGTGGCGCCTCGGATCAACACACGTGGAGGTTTACGACTGCCTGTATAATTTTGACACTTGGAGCCAATCTAGCAGCAAGAGTACATGTAGTACGTCTTGTTATCTCTGTCAGCTTGTCCCGAGCTTCATTCCGTCAGTAAAAGGCAGTGTTAACGTTTTATAACGCCCGTCACTGGTATTCATGTCTCGTCTTTTCTACAGCTCGCTACGGTACAAGGGCGCCAGTTCCTCAGCGGAGTGAAGTAGAACTGCAACCGAGTGCGTTGGAAGAAAAGTAAGAAAATTAATTTACCAACCAATATGGACTACTTAGTGTTTACTCTGCGGAAATATGAACTGAGTAACCTGCACTACATGCTGATTGGATGGACAACAACATATAAATGGGTCAGTGTGCAGCTACCACCACATTTCAGTCAGTCAACATTTATCTTATTGGCCGGTAGAAGTCGCTGTTAAATACCTAACGTAATGCAGTTAATTTTCAATCCGCTGGGTGACGCCCTTGATACGCAGTGAAAATTTCTACAGTTGGGCGGAGAGAAGTGGAGGTAATATCCAAAGGTAACAACTTGTTTTGACTCAATGTCAGCAGGGCAATTTTTCTTCACCCCCCCCCCCCCCTTAATCCCTGTCTTACACCACACCACACCACATATTACACCAGACCACACCACACCATACTTTTCTTTCCTTAGCTCCAGCTTTTTCCACACAAATCCAAGAGGCAATAAATTACAAAAGCTGAGGGTATATTCACTCAAAGCTTACCCTGGGTACCATCCTGGTTAGTTTACGTCCAACCCAATAATCTCTACCCACTAAATGTTGGTGGGTATCATGCAACTATCGGAGCAGATGTAAACTAACCAGGATGGTACACAGGCTACTCTAACCTACTGCCACATAAAGCAAAGTCATTTGACAAGAAGCCAAAATCAGAAAATAACATAACTTTATTTTACGAATGTACACATGGATGTTGTAACTGGACATGACCAGAGCTTCATAAGCACCAGCGATTTGTGGGGGCCAAATAAATATATCGCTCGTTCATAGTTGTATTGCATCAGTAACATCCCACAAAACAATAGCAGTCCATTTCTGTATTCACTGATTGCTATGGACAGCATTTTACGAACTGAAAAATGGTGAACTGGTACATCTTCCCCTAAACTGCACCAACTATATCATCACATCTTGGCTCATCCTTCAAAATATGTTGTCACTGGACTTCATTCACTTTGTAACCATAACAGATTCTTTATTTCCTTAACCTTACTTTGCAAATTTGGATGAGGTCTGGTAAAAAACATCTTTTCAGGAAACATTATCAAGAAGCAACATCAAGGACATCTCCTCCTGTACGTCAGTTTATAAACATCATTAGTGACAGATCTAAGGCAATGCTTGGCAGGTTACCGTCAGTAGAGAGACTAAAGTACAACTAAAAGGTCACAGCAGCATGTAACATTGATTCAGCACTTTTTTCCAAAGCACTGGCAAGTAGACTGTAACAGACAATTCCCCAAATATCTAGTAGAAGAGTTAGACTGTCTATCAACAGCAGAAGGGTTACATTAAAACATGATCACTGGGCAGGCAGGAACCTCTTGATGTAACCCAAAGAGACAAAAAAGTTTATTCTTACACCGTTTTAAGTTAGCTAAGTAGTTGTCTTAGACATAAAATGGAATACCATTACAAATGACGTATGACAAATGACGTTCCATTGACATATTTCACCAGTGACACATTCGTTCACTTACTCTACAACATCATGTTATTAACATCCTTAATATAATCATAACTATACATCTCAAGTTTTGTACAAGTATCACAAGTATATAGCAGCAGCAGTAAGCAAAGACATCCTCTGAAAAGAAGAGTCTTCAAACTTAGTTCATTGTCTTGGTTGGCCTCTTTCCCTCACAACAGAAATGTAGAGTACAACACTTTGGCAACTGTACCATAATCAAGACTAAGTATGTAATAGACTATTGGTATGACGTTGGACAGTTAGCATGTATAATGTTCAATGGCATCTTTATCTTTCTTGTCATTATACCGGTATCATCATACAAGAGCAGCAAAACCACTTAGTAAATCCAGCAGCATTAGCAAGTCACTTGGAAGACAGTCTTGGTGTATCCTCCTTGCAGAATTCTGCATTTTTCTCTGTAGTAAAATATAAGGAAAATAGTAAGAACATATGACAGCACATTAAATATGATCATTATGATTCTATTTGACACACAAGCCCAAACAGTAAGAGAATTGTATCCTTTTCACATCACCAAAGGTAACTTGTACTTTGTAAGTTGACAAAAAAAAAAAACAATTGTTGATCTTGGACTAGAGGCACTATGTCCGTCTGAAATCCTGCCATATATAATTGTGACAGAGAGTCATAACTTTTGTACCTGCATATTCCTATATAATGTGAGTGCAGAATCTGATAAAGTAATAAAATTTGAACAGCCTGGGTAATACTTGTGAGTTCATCATAATAACAAGTCCATGGGCAGCTAAAACATGGGAACTGATGCTTACATGAAGGTGAACTGGATCAGATGGACTCATAGTCAGGTTGTGGGGCATCTAAGGTGCATATAAGCAAAAGTCAGAGGCTGAACTGTACAAAAATCTTATCCTTGCAATGTGAAAACCAAAAAACAACTGACTTCTTTCAACTCTTTGTGTCCAGCTTTCTTTCTATCATCTTCATAACACTTTTTTTCATACGCACACACTGCAGTGCCTTTGATAGTAATCGCCAAGCAGATCCTAGGGTGGCAAAAGACAGTATCAAATTGGCCAGGCAGTATCCATGCGCCAGGGAGGGTCCCTACGCCACCCAAGGTTGGCCAATTTGATACTGTCTTTTGCCACCCTAGGATCTGCTTGGAGATTTTTTGATAGCAGAACCCTTGTTAATTACGATTAGTAGTAATGCTGATCTTACCAGTATAAGTTCCTGGTCCAGAAGATGAGGAGGAGTCACCCGGCTGGTCTGCAGGCATCAGCAGCTCTACATTCACAGTCGACAGCGTGGAGAGTTCTGTAGAGGGGGGTGCGCTGGCAGCCTGTTGTGTCGCCGTCGGCGGCTGCGGGCCAACAAAGTCCGACTGCAGCCCAGCCTCACACACGGCTGCAGACAGGATGTCCACCCCGGGGGAAGACACAGAGGACGGGGCGGTCTGGGGCAGGTACTGGCCGGTAGAATTCGGGGAGGGCCCGGGAACTTGACTATGACTACTTGGAGTGCCACTGCCATCAGGTTGGAAAGCTGGCGTCACCTGAGACTGGCTGTAACTTTGGTTGTGTTGAAAAGGGGAGTTGGGAGTGCTGAGAGTAGGGAGGACAGGTCTTAATTGAGATACGGACCCTTGTTGACTGGTTTGCATGACTGGGGCCATCTGAGGGGCAGGACCTCTCATAAAACTGCTGCCGAGTTGGTGCATCTGGCTCGGGGTCAGGTTTGTGTTGCCCTGGGTTACCGTTGCCTGGGGAACGGAAGATGCCATCAGCTGCAGGGGTCTGACGGCGGTGGGTGACAGAGGGGAGAGCTGCTGCATGGTGTGGCTGGTCACTGTCGTCTGTAGAGGGTTACCCGCAGCCTGGATGTTACTCAGGGTCGGAGAGACCTGTAGGTACACCGGCTGGGAGCTCACCGACACGTTGGGCTGTGACAGGTTGATCGGCAGTCTCTGTAGCGCCACCAGCTGAATGCCGCCGCTGTGTGCAGCGGTCAGGGGCGAGTTCAGCTGAACGGGCTGGCCACCCGACACAGGGACCAGGGAATGGGGTATCGGCTGGCCCTGTTGTAGCTGGACAGAGCTGGTGGTCATCTGTCCAGCAGCAAAACCCTGTCCTGGAGTCTGGCTTGTAGTCGTGACAGCATTCTGCATACTGGTAGTCACTCCATGACTGACAGGAAGCCTCCCTATAGGCTGGAGCAGGAGAGCGCCCTGTGGTCCTGAAACTGGAGTCACCAGGAACTGGCCGGGTTTACCGGCAAGTGTCACTATCTGTCCAGCAGGATTTCCCCCACCTTGCAAAGGGTTGTTTGGCTGCATGTTTTGTTGGCTTTTAGGTTGTAACGTTCCAGCTGATGTGGCCATCATGGAACCAAACCCGGAGCCCTGAGACGCGGTTTGGGAGGCTGACACCACACCTACAGGTGGTCCGTGTGTAATCGCTTTTCCCATCTCTGAACTCATGATTGGGTGTTTTGCACCAGTCTGGTTTCCAGCAGAAGCTGCGATTTGGTTGCTCACAGCTGGTGGTTTATATGGAGTAGCTAATGATCCTTGCTGTGGGGGGACAGTGCCTAGCTGCCGGCTTGGGACAGTCTGAGGAAGGGAGGAGGAAACTGTGCTTTGGGACGTCACATTAGGCTGGCCTTGTTGACACATGGACAGCGAAGTCAAAGGAACACCAGACTCAGGCTGGTTTGGCTGTACAGCTGTATTATTTGGCTGTACCTGTGCTACTGGCTGCATCACACCCACCATGGCGCCAGGTTGGCTGGACAGCTGCGGTCCTTGGGGCACCTGCATACATGGCACTACAGGCTGCACTGGAGTGCTTGCAGCCATGGGTCTGGTGGGAGCTGAGCTACTCGACGTTTGGGCTGACACAGAAGTCTGGCTGCTGCTCACCGCTAAGGACTGCACGCTGATAATTACTGGAGTCACCGTAGGTTTCACAGATGGTACAAGCTGTGGCATGACTGTAGCCACCGGTATGGTGACTGGCTGACCACCTGCCATGATGTTACTGGTGACCAGTTGTGTGCCGGGTGAGGTGGTGACGACTTTGTTGTTCTTTGCGTTTGGTTTTGTCTTCAGGATGAGGGGCTTGCTTCTCTCAGCAGCTTGAGGAGCTGTGTTAGACTGCGGCGGCTTTGCTACATTGAAGGGCTTGACTTTTCCAGACTGGACTTGGAGAGCAGCGTTGGCGGAAACTTTGCGGAGAGTGCGAAGAGCGTCTGTCCTGCCCTTCTGGAGGCTTCCTGTGGGAGTACCGGGTCTGGAACCAGAACCTGCACAACAAATAAGGGCTATCAGGGCTTGAAATACTTTTTTCTCCATACCATATTGAAAATTACCCGCATCATGTAAATTTCACCTGCACAGCTAAGAATTTACCAGTTCAGAAACCATTGCCATTATTATCTAATATATGCAGCAAATAAAATCCACATACATGTTTTTGTCACGTGCAACATAAAATTACACTTATGTGACAGTGAAAGGAGCATGCTGAATGATTGAGGAATACCATTCAAGGATATGAAGAAAACATACAACTTACTGCTTGATGTTGAACTTGGCCGAGAAGGTCTGTCCTGCCTGTCCCCAGACTCAGACCCACTCCCAGGTTTGGATGAGGGCATGAACTCCAGTTTAGGTGCTGGTGGAGGAGGCTTGGGCCTGACCACAGGAGGGGGGAGCTCCTTAGCATCCTGCCAGATGGAGGAGCTGGCAGTCCAGTAGGTCTTCAGGATGTCATCCATCTCTTGGCCTGAAAATAAAATTAGGGAATCAGTCTGAGAGTAGGGAAAAGAGTAGGGAGAGACTGTACCAGCCCCACGACTCCCGTGCGTGTGTAACGGCCATGCCTGTGTCCTGTGTGTGTTCTTCCTAGCCCCGTAGTCAGCTCCTCATGCAGTATCCGAAAAGAACCGGAATACCACCTCGGTTACACTACGTTTTCAATCTGATATAGTTGCCAGTGTCCATGATAAGTGTCAACTAGTTAAGTCATTTTAGTGACACTGCAGAAGAGTGATGGATGTCACTCAGAGTCATAATCTTTGTAATTTACCCAGTAGTAGAGTTTGACATGTCTTTGAATCAGTACCAATGATACTGAGGTCTTCCTCCCTCACCTGTTATTTTGGCCATCTTCTCAGCCAGCTCCTGAAACATTTGTCTCTCCTGGTGTTTCTGTACCAACAGGTCATGCTCCTCCTCCAGCAGGTTCCCAATCTCCTCCACTGTCTACAGGGGCAAGACAAGGGAGGCTTAGAAAACTGTAGGCAAGGTGAGACAATTTCCAAGTATCCTCTATCATCAAATAAAATAGTTAGTTTATCAGAATTTCCTGATAATATACCTACATAGCAGTAAGTGTGGGTGAGACAAAGAATGAGGATTGCACTACCTTACTAGTCTATTATAGTAAGGTTTCTGGTGTATGGTATAATTTCTTCTTGATAGACTCTTGTTAGTTTCAAACATACATGTATTTATGACAACCAAATTTAAAAGAAATTACAAGAGGTTCCAGCATTTTCTACTTCTACAGTAAGACGACATGGAAATCTGACCTCCTTCAAGACCGCATATTTGGACATCTTGTACTCCTCATCGTATCCCAGAACTGACTTCATCTTGTCGAACAGGTCCTTCATTTCCGAGCGCCGCCGTCTCTCGTTGGCTTTGTGGATGAGTCTCATCGGTCCCTCCCTCTGCAAGGCTTCCTCATCTTCATCAGGCTCTGGGGGGAGTGCACCCTCATGGAACTGCACCTCATCCGCTAGAAAACAGGGAAAACTTTCAGTCAATCATCTGTTATCTTAAACAGTTCTAAAGTCTAGGCAAGGACCCCGTAAGGATTGTAGGAAGGGGGAGGGTGTTTGAGTGAAAATGACCCCCCCCCC